CAGTTCCAGAAGTCCATTTACCAGTCAGGGGGGAGAGAGACCAGGCAGACATCCTCCCCAGTCACTCCCCCAGAGCTATAAGGACATTCGCAGCCAATCCCCCATTCCTGGGACCTAGAATGGGAGCACAAGAGATCCATGTGGGGCATCCTCCTGATCAGCTGCAACTAGAAACCTGCTACCCACATCAGTTGTACATAAAATAATTTGATTAACTTTTTACTTAAAAGGGAAAAAAACACAAAAATCTAGGAAATTGTATTAAACAATTCTGTACTTAGACATTTTAGTTGGAAAAAACAAGTTGAAAATTTGAAAATAGTATATTTATAGTTGCAACTTTAATTTTGCTCCTTTGTGCATATATGTTATGGCAGTCTTTAATTATATGATCACACACTGTTTTTTCACAGAGCCCTTGCCTCATTCAGGGTACGTCTAGATTACATCCCTTTTCAAGAAAAGGGATGTAAATTAGACACTTCGAAATTGCAAATAAAGCCGGGATTTAAATTTCCCGTGCTGCTTTTCCATAATGTCGGCCACAGGTTTTTGGGGTTTTTCAAAAAGGGGCTTTTAGAAAGAAAAACGGTTGTTTAGACGGGGATTGTTCAAAAATAAAACCCTTTTTCAAAAGATCGTGTACTCATTTTTTCAGGAGTACAGGATCTTTTGAAAAAGGTTTTTATTTTTGAACGATCCCTGTCTAAACAGCCGTTTTTCTTTCAAAAAGCCCCTTTTTGAAAAAAAAACTGCAACCGCCATTATGCAAATGAAGTGCGGGAAATTTAAATCCCAGCTTCATTTGCAGTTTCAAAGTGTCTAATTTACATCCCTTTTTCAAGAAAAGGGATGTCATCTAAACGTATCCACAGTGCATACAATGAACACAAGTTGGCAAAATTAAGGCTTTCCTAACTTTTGAATGGTAGACTTTGTAACCTAAATCATGTTATTTAACTTTGTTTTATTGTGTGAAGTACAATATAGCATAAACGGATCTTTACTTCATTTTATTTCTGTTGAATTATGATAAAAAGAAAAGCAGTAATTAGTGCTCACTGCTTGTCAGGAAAATTGTTTCCTCTTACTTATCTAGATTTAATGTTTATCGTTTGTTTCCCCCACTTTAGCTTCAGATTTGTGTGCGCCACACACAGTTTCAAGTGACCAACTATCTTCAGAAAACCTAAGTGTAGCTGTGGGACAGAAGATCAGCTCTCCCAACAGGATTCTTTCGGATGTACATAATTATGCTACTATTGTTGTTGGCTTCCCAGAACTTATGGTAAATCCAATATTATTGAAGTGTAATATAATGAAATTTAAGTTTTTAAGTTATCCAGAAACATTTTTTATAACTAGTTAATCTAAATAACTGTTAACCTAATTCGTTGCAAAAAGTCATGAATAATGCGTTAACATTTGCAGCAGATACAATGTTTGTTAGGATAGTGAGGGGTAGAGAGATTTCAGAAGGCCTGGCAGTGATAGGAAATTGGGTGACATATGGCAGATGAAATTCAATGGATATAAGTTTCAAGCACTACACATAGAAGAACAGTCTTACTTCTTATACACATGGAAAGGTTTTTTATTAAATATAACATTCAAGAAAATGACATAATTGTGAACAATTTGGTGTGAAAATCTGCTTGGGATGCTACCACAATCAATACAGAAAATGAGATGCCAGCTTATGTTTTAAAAAAGGTCTAGAGGGTACAGTAAACTTGCGATAATCCGGCACCTTTGGGACCCAGGGGGTGCCGGATTATCAGATATGCTGGACTATCGGAAGGGGGGGCTATGAGAGGTCTGGGGTGGGGGGGTGCCACCCCAGACCCCCCATAGCCCCCCCTTCCAACTCTGTCCCAGGGGTCCCCAATTCAGCCACTGCTGGTCAGTTTCAGCAGCGGCTCAATCGGGGACACCTGGGGCAAAGCAGCTGAGGTGCTACCAGGTTGATCCGGTTGCGCCGCCTTTCGGCGCTGCGAGACCAACCCAGCAGCCCCCC